CTCGACCATTATATCAGCCATGTCCATTTCATTGCTTCTATTCGCCGTCCTTATTTTATTTATTCTGCACGAAGCTATTCTAAATTGTCCCACTTTCTAAAATGATATGTGAGTGTACCTCGGTCCCCAGCTAATTTCTTCTCCTCCTTTCTATTTTCTAATAATCTTTTCTTAATCTCCAAATAAGTTGGTGGTTTTTGTCTATTTTTACTATCTATAAATATCATATATTTTATCAAAATTATGATATGATTTAATAACTGTTCCTTCCCTATGTTAAACTCAACTATCCCTACATGGATACCTTTCCAATTTATATTTGTAATTTCTACTAAATTAAATGAATTCCCACACTCTTCCCAAATTGGTTTTACTTTCTCACAAAGACAAAATAAATGCTCGTAAGTTTCCTCATATTTACCACAAAAAGAACATAAATTACTATTAACCATTTTAAATTTATATAAATGTAATTTGGTATATATAATATTATAAAGCATTTTAAATTGAAATTCTCTAAGCTTACTATTCAATGTGCACTTTCTAAGTCTTAAAAATATTAATTGTATATCTTTTCCATGAATATTATAAGTCTGTTCTAAATGTCGTTCTGCATATGATTTTTCTACTTTCTTATTTAATAAAAAAGCGTATATAATTTTTGAGGTTATTTGATCTAACATATATACCTTTTCAAACATAATAATATCCATATCCAATTCCCTATCTATATTTGAGTGAGTATTTTTTTAAAAATTGTTTCCATGAAGACGGGATGCTAAGAAAAATACGTTGTATTTTACTAATTTCTAAACTATTTAAACCTTTTCTTTGAAATTCCTCATTAGATTTTATATTACCTTCCTTATCAACAATATGATGCAACTTATAAACATTTTTGTTAAATAAACCCTCATCGAAATGAACATGACCATCGATAAAAACAAATCTATTATTATAGATAATCTCATTCCTCCTAGAAACACTTTCCTTTAACAAAAATATTCTCGTAGCCATCCAAACATGATGATCAACTAGTTGTGAAGAGTTCTGACGTAGGTGGCGTATGATGTTTTCGCGAGTTCGATAACTCCACTTCCATTGAGGTGAACACCATCGGCCTGTAGGTGGATATCGTGATAGATGGCGCTTATTTAGAAGCCTTCATGTCAGGGCCTGCAAAAAGTCGGGGCTCTGGGATTTTGAAAAATAATGTTAAAGAGAAAAAGAAAGAAAGAGATAAGAAAAAATGTTACCCGCCAATGTCACGAAAGAGGTATCAAAATATCCTAATCTGGCCGTAATTAAATGCCTAAAACCCTAGTTTACGGGGGCTCCGCCCCTAGACCCCACCAGGGGCCCTATGGCGGGCCCCTGGATGCTCGTCTGACCGTAATTAAATACCTCGAACCCCTGAGTTACTTGGGGCTCTGCCCCTGGACCCTACCATGGGCCCTAAAGAGGGCACTTGGATGCTTATCTGACCGTAATTAAATACCTAAACCCCTAACTTTTCGGGGGCTTTGCCCCCTGGACCCCAACAAGGGTCCTCAAGAGCCACTGGACCCTACACCAATTTACGCTCGCTACACTCTACCTGATCGTTAGTACTCCACTTTGAAACCCGTTTCGCGGGGCCTGCATGTAACATGTAAGAGTTGTGCTGATGCAGATTTTTCTTCTACCCCCCCCCCCCCCCCCCACACTCATTTAATACGCTACTGCCCCAGGAAGGTGAGCCCCCTGGAACGTTTGCCCATCCAATCCCAAACTGCTTCCGGCGCGCCTGTTCCTTCAGGTATACCCATTTACCTCAGCTGGGTGGAGTGACGTCGTCAGTGCCGTGGAAGGCATCCGAACACCGTACAGGAGACTTAACCTCTGCCCCTCTAGCTGATAACGGCCTTGGGCTTATTGTTCCATTTATATTCATATCACATACTAATTTCCAGCTGTTTCACGATGAGAGCCTGGGAAATAATCGATGATTTTAATTTAAGCTTAATTACAATTGCTGGCGACTCTAATTTCATTTTCAAAGAAAAACAGATTATAGGATAGAGTGCCAGCTGGGAGTAAGCAAGGCTTATCAAAGTGTCACTCGTGAGAGTCGTTGAAAATGGCAGGTCATGTTACTACCAACAAGACTATACAGTGCGTCCCAGAAAAAACGAAACCGAGAATTATCGATGTTTTTATCATAACTTAATCACAATTATAGTTGATAAATGACACATATTCAGAAAGCTTAGATCCTCCTCTTTCATTTGATGAAATTCATATAATGCATATTTCACGAATGAGTGATTAAAATTAATTTGAGGAGAGGAAACCAAAACATCATGTGGCGGACGGTATCTGAATTTCAAAGAGAAAATCCCATTTCTAGAAAGTTGAGTTTCTGCCCTTTCATATGACACCTCAATCAGGGAAAATGAGCTAGGAATAACAAAGTTCTGTTTGTTTAAAGTGATGCTTGCATTTCCATAATTTTATCGAACGAATTCGTCTTCACTGGCCACCTGCCGTAGCAACAAACGGAATGAACAAAAGACATAACTCCGTTTCGTTGACAATCAACCGTAGGCAGGCGGGTACACAGGGGGGGGGGGGGGGGGGGGGGGTTAAACCCCCCTTTGGTATTTTTATGTGTGTAACCCCCCCCCCCCATCACCCCCTAACCCCCCTTTTGATTTTTTGATTTAAAAAAAAAAAAAAAATTCCCATAGCTGACCTAAAAAGATGACCTTACCTCCCCCCCCCCCAACGGAGCCAAATGTCAAATTTTCAAATTTCGAGACCAAAAAAAAAAAGTGTCCTCTTACCCTCTTGCGGTGGTGGGGGGGGGGGGGCGCAAGTGCCTTTTGCCCCCCCCCCCCGGAACTACAACTTGTTGGCGGAAAAATTGCTACTGATATTCCTCTTCTTTTCTTCTTCCTCTTTTCTCCTTCCCTTTATCTCCTCTTTGCCTTCTTTTCCTTTACTCTCTGTCTGTCTCTCTTTTCTTTGCCGGGGGGGGGGGGGGGGCAAGGCCCGCTCCTTCCCCCCACCCCCTGGATCCGCGCCTGCTCCTCTGAATGAAACGGTTTAGTATACACGGGAGCGAAAAAGTCTAAGCACAAAGATTGCGAAATCTTAAGCATATGAAATAGATGGTTGGCAAACTTTCAAATGATGAAAAGCAAAATTTCGATCTCAGCTTTACAATATTTTAAGTTATAGGAAGTACATTTTTTGAAAAAGTAATTATTAAGAAAAACATAGGCCTCTCCTCCCCGTATAAATACTGGGTGAGTGCAAACGGGCCGTTAACCATAGGCTCCCCCTACTCTTATACAAATGCTGCAGTAGATTCTTAAAGGTGAAAACAAACAGGTTATGACTTTGATAACTTGTGTAAACGAGCTTACAAATAATTAACTCTTATCACGCCACAGTGCTAATCCCCATTGTGTCAAGCCCAAATCCACCCGTGCCAGGTTGTTTTGGAGATAATCTGATTAACGCGATGGATCTGTGAATAGCGAGTGCAAAACACACATCACAGTCCAATGAGCATGATCAATAACTGCTATTACGAATGCGCCCTTGCACGCACATGGCACTCAAGCGATGGCTTTCTCGCATACAAAGCACTATAACGATAGCGTGCATGCAGCCTCATGGCAGGCTATGAGTTAATATATTCTGGTCAGATCCATGATTTTATGTGGAAACACAAGAAGACAAACATATGTGCAAGGGGATACAAGATGCCGGAAGCTTCAGAGAAACGGGAGAATTATTTCACGTGTTTATGCTAGGGTACTGAAATAGTGTCCTGTGATAAATGGCTAAGACAAAAAATAAAAAAAATTAAATACCGATAGGCTATTAACAGTTGCCAGATGTTTTGGGGTCAAAATCTAAAGGAGGTGTGTGCACGAGACACAATTAGGGAAGATGAACTATGCCCGATTAGGTTTAAAGGAGGTTCCAGTAACTATTGATGGGAGGGGGGGGGGGGTGCTGCTTATTTAAAGTCCGCCACTTTATAGTTTATAACTTTTATTCATGCATTATGTTAATGGGGTTTATACATGTATCATTGAATAATTTGGCAAACCATCAATGCAGAGTATGTTTCTTTTACCAACGTCTCCACTATCGAAAATAAAATGATATTTTTTATAGTGATTTAACTGTTGAAGAAAGATCACTCATTTATGAAAACAATATTAAATATACCAAAGAATTCCATACGGCTTTAGCCTCTAATGATTTGTCTATATAACATACAGAGATCTGATGATAATTCAGGTAGCTTATATATTATATGCAAATAAATACTTTTTTCATGGGACATTTTTTTCGAGTGTGCAGTTGTAACATCTCTTTGGCTATTTTCAGAAAGTTATTTTACGTTTGAATCTTTACAATTACTGTGTGGATGTACCAAAGATTACTATAATTCTATTTGTATAAATGTATTTTATGGGGTACCAGATTATATATATATATATATATATATATATATATATATCAGTGTGAGTTAAAGAAAGACGAACTTAATTGTCAATCTCTTCTTTCTGTGATCAATGTGAAATATAAAACAAATATGTTATTACTGCCACACATAGTAAGCACGTTAGGTATAGTTACTAATTGTTATTCATACCCATCGTAAATTTCATGTCTTTCTGTTTTTCGTAAGTCAAGAATAACAAGTGAACTGGTTGAATTAGAGCCTTTAATTTGTTTAATAGTTTTAGATGTAAGCTTTAATATGCAACATTACCAAGAAATCCAATTTTCACACACTTATAATACACTAATAATTATTTGTTAAGTGTTAACTTAATGTTGTTACGTAACAGAGTTTTATCCAGGCTCAAGGTCGACGCATAGGCGCTCATGATTGGTTCATGAAGATGATGAGCTTATCGGGTTGACCGAACCGAAATAATTTGTGGTCCGAATCCTTTATAAATAGGGGTTGCTTTCCTCACAAATATCGTCTTTGGGCGCACCTTTGCGACGCACGGAAGTTCAAAGGTAAGTCGGCTAGAACCTGAATAATTCATCAGTTTTTGTCACCAACGCTTTGGTAATATTTCAGGTTATCATACCTCAATACTTCATGAAAGCTGGCTCTTGATTTAAATATTTGCCTATGGATTTCACCTACTTTTTAGGCCTATACCTCCAAGTCATCTTGAATTCTTTTTAAGTTAGTGATTATGCTAGATCTGTATAAATATCGTTATCTCTGTTAATAAATCAACGTAATAAAAAAAAAAGAGCTATTGGTTAATTCTGCTTTCAGTAATCTGTCTCCAGCTAACTCCACTGTAAGAATTGCCTATTTCTATGAACATAACTGTAATTATCACCATTCTTAATTTATTATTCAATTGAAGTAAACCAATCGCCACTCTTAAAAAGCTGAGGCTCTAGCTGTCTTCACTCTTGATGCGATTGAGCCGGACTATCGCTGCTTTCCTTTCAATCGCAAACCTAAAAACTGTTAAATCTTTCTTTAGGACTGAGTGTGATTAGAAAACATAAATCCTTTCTTGATTTCAGTTGTAGTTTTATTGTAGTTTTATTTCCATTTCAAATATTTCAATTCTTTCCGACCGATTACAAAACACGAATCGTCGATTGATGTCAACTCCTTCCTCTATTTACATTTTGAATAGTTTTATTTTTTCCTATTGATTGAAAAACCGAAATATTTGCTCGATGTCAGTTGGTTGTTTTACTTCAGATTTCACCCCCTTTTACATTCTTTCCTGTTGATTGAAAAACATAAATCCTTGCTCGATGTCAACTTCTTGTTTTCTCTCCCATGTCAGCTATTTCAAGATAAATTTCGCAGAAGAACCAAGATGTTTGGCGGAAAAAAGTCCACCCCAATCATCCTTCTCGTCATTCTACTTCTTCAGGATGCGCGCCGATGTTCTGCAGGGCTACCGATACCCAGCGGTGTCACTTTCCTGGGTATCGGGTATAACATCGTCGAGGGTAACCCTGAAGGGGGCGACATGGCCACCGGGGGCGTTGACCCCGGACTCCTGGTTAGTCGGTCGATCTTCGTCATGACGTACGACGAGGGTAAGATCACTAACGATGGAAAGTACCAGATCCCGGACGAGGTTAACTTTGAACTTCGGGACGCCGCCTTTACCTCGTCTTCAGCGACCACCTTTCATGGTACTTCCAGTTATGCCAAGAAGCTTTCAGCTCAGGTGTCTGTTGGTGGTGAGTTATTTCAATTTCAATCCAAAGTCTAGCAATTATATATTTTCAACATTTTTTCTTTCATATTTACATGATTTTTTAAATCATTAAATGTATATAACAAGAGAAAGCAGTTTTATCGTAGTAACGATGATAATAGTATACTCACAACAATGATAATGAAAATAATAATGATTATGGTTATTACAAAAAGTGAATAATGATTTAAAAGCGCATAATAAAACAAAATCATGTCTCTATGTGCTTTACAAATATGATGGAGAATGAAGAATCTAAAAACTATGTAAAGTACCGAGAAATATTAAAGGTACAAACCAGTTTTGGAAACGCCCCCCTCTCAAAAAATAAAATGGAAGCTCTTATTACCAATCATTTAAAAGAATATGTTTTGACTAATACATGATGAAACAAATTTTGCCGGGAAACTGCATGCTACTAATTGATATATTTGGTAAATTAGTCGACCTATTGGGATGTGATAGATATAACGCACGTGCCGCGCACGTGTGCGTAGTCTCATATACATCTTTCTACGTGTACAGTGCTTGTAACTTTACGAAGACTAGGCCGAATTTCTTATCATTTTGATGATTCCAGAACCTTGCAGTACACACCAATACTTATAATTATATGCTAGATGATGACTTTCCAAACGCTTTTTAGTATCAGAGGCTAAAGTCCATGTTTCACTACCATGCATAAGTACTGGGTATATGTAACAATTCAATACTCTTATTCTGGTCCTCATACTCATTGTTCGATTTGTCAGAATTTTGCCTAGCTTTGAAAATGCAGATTTAGCGAGAGCTATCCTTCTCTTGATCTCTGTCTCACATCTGGCATCCTCGGTGACCATGCTGCCGAGGTAGATTAATGAGGAGACTTGTTTAATAATCTGTTCTTTCAGTTCCAAGTTACATTTTGGACTGCTCTTCTTAGAGACCACCAGGCACTTTGTCTTGGTATAGTTGATCTCTAGTCCCATTCTCTCACTTTCGTTTACAACTACATTCAGGAGTCTCTGGAGATCTTTCTCCGATTCAGAACATAAAACAGTGTCATCAGAATGTTTAATATTTGTGATTGAATGGCCACCCACTTGTATCCCATTTTCATCTTCCAATTCTCTTAGAATGATTTCACTATACATATTGAACAGGTCCGGCGACATAACACAACCCTGTCTGACTCCCCGTCTGATGTTAATATATTCACTACACTCTCCTTCTACCCTGATGCATGCAAACTGATTCCAATATAGACTTTGTAGCAGTCTCAGATCTTTCCTATATATATCAAGCTTTTTCATTTCTTCAAAAAGTTCTGAATGTTTTACTTTATCAAAAGCCTTTGAATAATCTATAAAACACATGTACACCGTAGGTGCACACATGAATATTAGGGACTTTTAGATTCGCACGAAGACAATGGGGATTGCTACGCTCGACGTCCTTTTAATGCACTGCCTTGAATGGACGTCACACGTATCAGTCCACGCAAATTAATCTAAGAGTCCCTACTGATTCGTAACATGAGCACGTATTCCTGTCGGTGGTTTTTACAATTTTATCAGAAATGACCGTTATCTGCCCATGCGAAGATAGTATTTACGACAATGCTTATTGGTGCGAACTGCAAGGTTCTGGAATAATCAAAATGATCAAGTATTTAGCCCAGTCTTGGAAAAGTAACAAGCACTGTACACAGAAAAATGTATATGGGACTACACAAACAAGCATAAAAACCGGGCTTCGTTTTTAAGCTGTTACTGTCTTGTCATATTTAGAATATGAAGGCATTTGGAGAGCCATGCTTTTCAGGGAACATTCTTTTATCTGATTTTCTTCCACACTTGCATAATAACAATGATAACGCTCACAAATTATTTTCACCTCTCCCCAGAACTCAACCTTCTCTTTTGAATGCCATAAAAATCTCTAACTCGATATATTTACATTACTGTAATTTTTTGTTGTTTACATTAAGAATGGTTCAAATTCGAATACTAAAGGTAGTGTATCCCTTTTGCAGCCAACATCAAATTTTAAAGAACTTTGCAGGAAATATCAATATGTCGCGTATGTCCTATCTGTGAGATTTAAACATGAGCAGTGTCCTATAATCCAATTATGCAAGAAATCCCGTTTACTTTCTAGACTTCACTGTCAGACACTATTGAGTGACTGACTGACTTATTTTTTCTTTTGGAATAACATACATAACATGAGCTGTAAAGGGTACCTGAACCTTTGTCTTTTTCAATAACCCACTTCTTGAAACGACCAAAATTAAACTAATTGAATCTTTGCGCAGCACAAAACGTACGACCATTCGGTACAAGGGTAAAACAGTCAGACTATTTAATTAAACGAGCGCGCTCGCTAAATTCGATTCGACAACTGGCGGTCGATATTTTCCCACAAAAGACATTTGTTAGCACTTTTGTTTTCAGGGGAGAATCGAAATTAGTATTCTTTTTCAAATGCCGTTGGAATTTAAACTTTTCATTTGTTGGGCCTGAAAATGGGACAAAGTAGGCCTACCTTTAAACAATACATATAGAGATCAATTGATCATTCAGTGATACTTGTACAAATAACGATGAACCTAATACACCAGTATTTTTATCATTCATATAATAAAACATGATTTTAAAAATCCTTCATTTCTTTTCAGGTGGATATAGCGGCTTGTTTGCTAGTGTTGAATTCGCCGCAAGCGCCCGTAAGTAATTCACAAATTATTATGATAATGTTCGTATATTGTAATGCAGCTATGAAAAATAAATCGCAAAAGTATTATATTCTGCACACAAAATGAGTCATCAGCAAAAACGTAGCCTATACATTATTAAAGGGAAAGTCCACCCTGAAATTAAGTTAGTTTTAATAGGAGTAGAAAAATGAGAGAAACAAGTCGGTGAAAGTTTGAGCAAATTCCGATTAAAAATAAGGAAGTTAGGATTTTTGAAGTTGTGATCAATCAAACACAAATTGGCAACTCTATGACGTATCATGCGAGCTCAACTTCCATTTGCTCAGTACTAAAAAAATCTAAAATTTTCATTTTCCCTCAAGAAAAATTTCAACCATACATGCACCCTAAATATAATAATTGCAAATATGTTTCTATACTCCCCCTGCAAGGAACAAATATATATTCCGTCATCAATAACGAAGAAAACATGATTTTATGGAATATTATGCACAAAGCAAATGAAGGAGAGCTCGTATAATAAGTCACAGAGTTGCCAATTTGTATTTGATTGATCACAACTTCAATAATTCATAACTTTCTTATTTTCATTCAGAATTTGCTCAAACTTTCACTCACCTGATTTTCTTATTATTCTGCCTCTATCGAAACAAACTTATTTTGGGGTGGACTTTCCCTTTAAAGGGATATAGACAGTCACACACACTTTTTCCCACGTAATTTTTTAATTTTTATTTCATTCATTATCAAAGCAATACTAACAATTCTCAAAATACAATTCAGTTTGCTGCATGCAAAATTCGTAAATTACGATTAAAACAGATTTGGGGAATGAAATCAGTTACAACATTTAAACAAGAACCACACACACAAGAGCACACGCTCACATACACACACACACACTCACACGCACACAGACGCATGCCAGGCATGAGCGTAATACTCAATATTATGAATTCGTTTATTATTACTTTTTTCAGGTTATCAAAAAATCGAGTCGCGAACGAGCAGCGAAGGTTATATCTACTACGCGAATGAAACGTATCAAACTATGGCAACGCGCGTTACTTGACGGAGCTTGCAGGTCCTGACAATTACACCCTCAACAACGGATTTGTTTCTACCGCATGCCGTCTACCAACGGCTTACGCTGAGGATGACTACATATATGACTTTCCTCGAGACCTGGGGAACTGTAAGGAACAGCATATTTTTTCAAAATCAACATTTTTTCTTCTTAATTATTTGGTTTTAAATCAAAGCGAAGTTAAACTTCATGTCTGATTGGTATTATTTTTATTTGCAAAAAAATTAAAGATGAAATTCACTTCCCTTTATACAGGTTATGAAAGCTCAATCTTACATTATTTCAGCTTAAAGGTAAAGACCAGTATTGGAAACCCCCCAATTTCAAAAAATGAAATGGAAGCTCTCATTACCAATCATGTGAAAGAATATGTTTTGACTAATACATAATGATAAAAATTTTTCCGGGAAACCGCCTACTAATTCATATATTTGGTAAATTTGTTTCTCTCATGGTCTGTGAGAGATATAGGGTAGTCCCATATACATCTTTCTGTGTATAGTGCTTGTAACTTTACGAAGAATGGGCCAAATTTCTTATCATTTTGATGATTCCAGAACCTTGCAGATGCTAGATGCTAGATGATCAACCTTTTCTGATCGATTCCACAATGTTTCTTTCACAATGCAATCGCATGACCATAACTGGTCTTTACCTTTAATAAAAGGTTTGTTAAAACTCTCAGTCGAGCGCATACCAAACAATAAACTAAAAATACTTGAAATGTTAAATGCCATTAAATATCTCATTTTTTTATAGGAAAAAATTCTCCCCTGTTAATCAGTTGGTCTCAATGAAGGCAGTTAAAAACAGGCACGTACGCAGGAGGGGGGGGGGGGGGGGGGGGGGTTGGATTTGGGTACCCCCCTTAATATTTTGTTATGTGTGTGTTTTAGAGGAAACCCCCCCTTGCTAATCGATGACCTAAAAAAGGTTACCCCCCCCCCCCCCCAACGGAACGAAATGTTAATCGGTCAAATTTCCAAATTTTGGGACCCCCCAACAAAATGTCCTCTTACCCCCCCCCCCCTCCGTTTATTCAGCGGCTGACTGGGTCGTTGCGAAATTTTCGGCCCGATTTGAAATTGTTAAAACCGCCCCCCCCCCCCCCCCCCCCCCTTGAAAAAATCCTGCGTTCGCGCCTGGTTAATTAAGAGAAAGATATAAATGGAAGTTTGAGCATATTGCAATTAAAAGAAGAAAATCATAAATTTTCAAAATTTGTAATCAATAAAATCAAAACAAATCCCAGACATTTCTTTAAAAACTTACTCCAATAATAGATGACACTACAAATTCTGATAGGACGTTCATGGTTCAGAAAGCAGTGGCTACTTTTGTTAAACGTTTGAATATATGACGTAAAAAATAATAATATGCATTACAGTTAACTTACGTTTTTAAGGAAATCTAAAGAAGCTAAAGCCGAAAGAAAATCATCTTTATGTATGAAGAGTATTTTGTCATCGATGTATCCATGTTTCGTTTCATATTTCTGTTCTTTGTGAACTTTGTCTGAGCCTTCACTTTACATGTGACCAAACCAAATATCCATGTTGAATGACATTGGACAAATAAATATATTGAATTGAATGGAATTGAATTAAAAAAATGAACCTAACTTCGAGGGAAACTAATTTGAGTGTTCTTTGTTTTGACAGCATGTCGTCACCGAGGTGGATCTAGGAACCAGGGAGGGTTCGAACTATGAGGAGCATAGGGCGGACTTCGTCTCGTACGCTTCAACAAATGTAAGACTACATTGCAAGAGAAAATAATGGGAGTATTTGTATTCTTGTCTTTTTTTTCCTCTCATTTATTTATCTATACTTACGTTCTTATTCATAGAGATAAATTTTTATTTTTATTCATTTATCTATCAATTTAATGTTTCCACCGTTGGATGAAACACCCGGAACATATGATTCCACTAAGCAAGTTTATATACAATGCCCTTTGCGAGCGTTTGTTTCTAGTGATACTGCTGCTACTCCGACTACTCCTACTACTAGTACTACGATTAATAATAATAGTAATATAATAATGATTGTAACAGTAACAGGATCAAAATAATATAATGACAATAATGGATATCTTCATGATCACAGGTCGGTGGTAGTGTCAGCGCTGGAGGGTCATATATGGGCTTCAGCGCCTCGCTTTCGGTTGATATGGATTCCTTCAACAGCGGAATGCAGAGTGGCTCCAGTTTCGGTAGCATGTACTCCTCCTATAGGGTTGGAAGCCTTAGTCTGAATGGTGTGAAATAGAATCTTTATTTTATTGATTTTATGTTAATTATGTACCAAAATCATTGTTATTTTGTAAGGATAACTTTTTACAAGCCATTTATGTGCTTATCATGATACTCTCACTTCTGTCCGACAAATCATTTCTACCTCCATTTTGTCCTTATTTCTTTCTGATTTTCCTCATCACCGTTGGCCTACTGTTTTCCAATACGCATCATTATTTTGTTTTAATATTATTCTTATTATATGAAAATGTATATGATGAGGACATCATTTCAATCCGTGATTATGATACATATCATTTATCTCATAATGGAATAGCTGAACATCAAATAAAATCGAATATAAAATATCATCTTATCCATATATTAAAGGTACTATGTCCCTTTTGCAGCCAACCTCAAATTCGGTAGAACTTTGCAGGAATTGTGAATATGTCATGTATGTCCTATCTGTGAAATTTAAACGTTAGCAGTGTCCTCATATTCAAATTATGCAAGGAAACCCGTTTACTTGCTAGACTTCACTGTCAGACACTATTGAGTGACTGACTGGCTTTTTTTCTTTTTTGGTAATAACATACATGAAAAGAGTTGTAAAGGGTACATGAGCATTTGTCTACATCAATAACTCACTTCTTGTGATGGCCAAGATTAAACTGATTGAATCTTTGCGCAGCATAAAACATATGACCATTCGGTACAATTGTCTGAAAATCAAGACTATTACTATTGGGCTCTATAGCCCTAAAGTCGATTTGACAACTAATAGTCATTATTTTCCCACTTGAAGACATTTTCAAGCCCCACCTTTTTTAGGGAAGTTCTAAATAAGTATTATCTTTCAAATGCAGTTGGAATTTAACTTTTTCATTTTTTGGCCTGCAAATGGGACATAGTACCTTTAACAACAAATCATTAAATAAAATCTAATTTAACAAACTAAAACAAAGTCGTTCAAGTAAAATCAGATGAAATCAAACCGAATCAAATCATTCAAACCAAATCAATTCAAATTAAACAAAATTAAATCTAATCAAACAAAACCAAATTAATCATATGAAATGAAATTAAATGAAATCTATTCTTATCCAATCAAATCTTTCCAGAGCCAATCAGCTTGAAACTCGTCGACATGCATGAGCTATTTGGTGAGGATTACTGGACCCAGATGCAGGCTTACATCGATTCTGGGCACTGCTCGGCATCATGGAATAGGACGGCGGCTGCGGAGAATGTATTGACGGCTTTGAAGAGCTATCGGAATTGGAAGAAGATACACGACAGCACGAGTTGGTTTTGTTTCCTTATTCTTTTTCTCTTTTTGCACTCGAAATTTCGTCCTTGTTTTCACGAAGTGACGGTAGTGAGGAAAATCGTCACGCAAGGTGAATGCAATTTTTTTTCACTACCGTCACTTCGTGAAAACAGCGACGATTTGTAATAATAATAATAACCTTTCAAATAAACCGCTTAAGACCAACCGTTAAAAATTTACGCGACCGACCCAAACGCTGGCAGCGTTATAGTCATGCGCGATATATGTTATCTGTAGTTGTCAGCTAGTACGTGCCATCGAATTCGAAGAGATTGGCCAACCCGGTTTGAGTTGGGCACAATATGCCGAATAACGCCTCGTTCGCTTACAATCATGCTCATACTTAAGGCATTTAAAACCTAGAAAGAGAGGAGCAATGCAGATAAAACACCTTGCCGAAGGACACAAGTCCCCCCACCCCCCCCCCCCCCCCCCACCCACTCCCTGGAGATAATAATACTGCTGGCAGGGATATTTCAAGATTTCAATTCAATTCTTAAAACTGCCTATATGACTAAATTTTCAGCAAATTTACGCGAAAGTAGCCAAATATGTTTTTGTACATCTTACCATCAAACCTGACTACCACTGAAGGCAAACACAAAAACTGGCCACTGTAAACGGGTGGCCTTTGTAGACAGGTTCTTCAACACAGTCATGTTTCCTTCATAAGGGGTGCAATATAGGTGACCACTAAGATTAAGGTTTGATTGTAGACTGTTTTTCATATTTGCAAATATTACAAACAGTCTAACTTCGAGATTTCAAAGGATTTATCAAAAAATAGTTTTTAAAGCAAGCGACATGAGTGCCAGAGCTAGATGATACATGCTCTTTACAAGGCTTTCATTTCAATTATTGCCACTGAATGATGATAATAATCTGGATTTGTATATCGCTTTAATAATAAGAAATACTGTCTCTAAGCGCTTTATATAATTATATTATAACCCCGGGCATCGGATTCATTCACGAACAATGTGCACCATATCCACTCCCTGTGGAGTATTCCTACTATTTGGTCACCATGAGGGCAATTATTAACACAAATGTTTTCGCCATCCTACCTGGTCCCCATTTTTCTCCTAATTGGTATGGGTGGCAAATGTAGATTAATGCATTGGCAAAGAACATGAGTGCCGTGTCGGGGATCGAACACACGACCTTTGCGTTTCAAGTCAAGTGTTTAAACCACTCGGACACGACACCTCTACTTAAACCCTCTGTTAGCCCCCACATGTCGATCGGCTGACAGGAGTCTCACTCCAGTTAGGCTCAATCAAGACAGACGGCTCAAAGGGTAGAACTGCGACGAAAAATGATCACAAGATGCTTCCTTAATTGCACACTGTTCCTGGTTAAACGAATGGTATGGGACTAAAAAGGCGTCAGGTAGGAAATGTTGGGACCATGCAATTAAACAAAGGAATATACGCCATATCGTATCCAACTGAAACTAAGTGGCCAAAACTCTGTGTGTATGACCATGATAAACAGCTCTGGCTCGTTCAATATCTATTTTAATGAAATTGAGAAAATTATATCGGTTCTACATTGATTTCTTCCAGACCCGGATGTGACGATTCCCCTGACCTGGCCCGATGGCATGTACGGACTAACCCGACCCAAAGATGGTTGTCCCAACAAGGAGTTCACCTGGAACGAGGGATCTAGATACCAGGATACAGAGGATGATAATGGTGGCACCAACTCATGGAGTGATCCTATTCACATGACAGGGCAAGACTCCAGTGGCATGACGCAGAACTTTTGTATCAAAACCGTCACGAACGTTAATGAGAAATCGAAGTGGACCTGGCAGCCCGGAAGCTACTGCATCTACAAGTACGGTGGCAGTTGCCCTGCAGGTAGTTCACGTTTAATATTGTTCAATTTAAAAGTAATTCACGATGTCGGTATATGACTCTGATGTTCATCCAATTCATTTTTGCGATAGAAGCACAATAAAGTTTACATCACGCACACGCGCCCACCCAAGCACACGGCTTCACACATAATATATTTGGGTAGGATGTAGGATTTGCGAAAGGTTCTTCTTTAAATTTCATATTTCATTGTTTTTGTCCTGGCATAATGCACGTGGACTTTGGTGTTTACTGGCGTGTATTCATCAAATCTTTATCATCGTGATCCGTCATAGGCGGTTTAATATTAGGGGCTTTTCGTTTGTGTGGACGAGGACACCGTTCCCGTCCTCTAACGATGCGAATTGGAATCAGACATCCGTCCTGTTCACTACCTTATAACCCACGGGTGGCCAACCTTTTAAAGCTCACGGTTCACAGCTAACGATTGGCATAACTTAGCGGGCCTAAGGTAGTGTTCTCCCCCCTAACATAGTCATGCAATACGTGTACACCTGCAATTTTGCAAAAACAAACAAGCAAACAACAAAATCAGTGGGAAAAAAAATCAGGCTTACTTTTTTGTGTGATTTCTAGGGGGGGGGGGGGATTTGATGGACAAGTTTTAGCAAGTTAGACCGGTCACTAATTTGTCAGGTCTTGTTAAGTCTAGCTTCACCCTGTAACTCTCCATAATTTGCTAGATGCAGCGTGTCATAATGCCCATTACATTCACACTCTGGTGACAAATAATGCAAAGTGGGTTACTTTGATTTGATTTTGATTTTGATTTAACCCTCAACTTAGATACAACAATACAAATAAAAATGAAAAAGAGAGACTTGCAGAGAAGAAAAGGAAAGGGGAGAGAAGGAGCGTTGGTAATAATACAATAAATCTCATACATCTGCTGATTGAATGCAGGTTCGTTCATGAATGGAAAAACGATGCTAGGTCATGGACGATTACACATCATTGTTGAATATACAGTCAATGAACACACGAACATGAATACAGTAGAATTACACACTATGAAGAAATACTTCACAGATCAATCTGATTTTATGTTTCTGCCTTCATCAGAAACCTTCCTTTTCTTCGCGGGTCTCGAAGTCGATGCCTTGTTGGTTGTTATTTCAAACAAAATCAAGGATACGGCAGAAAGAATATCCTAATCTTATTAGTTGTACAATGTACATATCATTGAACGCGGTTTAAAGGGAAGGGGACTATCCAGTTTACGATTCGGATTCATGAGAAAATTCAATGGCGGGAGAAAAGGGTTGTAAGTTTCAAGACAAGTATGGCATTTCAAACATGGCATTTCAATTCACAACATTTGTATATTTACAAATGTTACTGCGGGCGGAAATTACGAACTGAAATTAACACTGCGAGTGATGTTAATGTCGTTAATGTAATGGAATGAGAGGAAATTTGAGGAGTTTTGTATCAACCAAGTAGTCAATTTGTTGTGAATGATGAAAACAAATTATGGAAATAGAGATTGCTGTGTGTAAATGTTTTACCCTATTTCATCACTGCTATGCGGGCCGCATTTCATTGATAAGCTATTTTTATATTTAATTTTTCAAAGCTCCGCGGGACGCGCCAAAAGAGCTAGCTCACGGGCCGCAACAAGAGCTTTTCACCTTTCCTGACCTTTCCCCATCATCTAGCTGACCTCTTAGTTTAATCCGACCTCTTAGCTTAATCCGACCTTTTATTTTCCTCTGACATTACACGTTTCCCTACCTTTCACTTTTATCTGACCTCAATTTTTCAAACAGACTTCGCGGAAGGCTATTTTTACGGTGGGGCCATGCTTGCTAGAGAATCACTCTTTTGCCTTCGACATTTTACCACTTTCTACATTTTTGCCTTTGAGCTTTCATTTATCAAACATTTCGCCTTCATCTGATCGTTTGTTTTAAGAATTGGCTGAGTTTTCATCGTTTTTTACCTTTCGCTTTTATATCATTTTTTTTTGTCTTGACCGACCTTTAAAAAAAAAAACTGATATTCCACCTTTTCTGACCTCTTAACTTTATCTGACCTTTCATCTTTATCAGACCTTTTTATCACCTATGTCACCGGCCTTCGCAGTTATATTTACTAGGACGATGAAAACAAGGATACACTTGCTCTTATGGTGGCACCTTGCTAGTCTAGTTCTGGACTCTATATTGACTTTTGTTATTCGCCGACTATAAACGTTAAGCCGAGTGATGGCGCGATCCTTAGTGATTGCACGATCCCCACAATCACTCGGCTTAACGTTAATAGTGGGGATCGCGCAATCACTAAGGATCGCGCCATCACTCGGCTTAACGTTAATAGTGGGGATCGCGCAATCACTAAGGATCGCGCCATCACTCGGCTTAACGTTTATAGTCGGCGAATAACAAAAATCAATATAGGGTCCAAAACTAGACTAGTACCTTGCCGGCTTGGAACTCATTTTCGCTATTTTCTGACCATTTAGACCCACCTTTATGTGAATGTACGCCTTTTAGCTTTGTTTTAATATATTGACCTTTCGCCTTTATATCACCTTTCCCTTCCTGTTTCCTCGACCTTCACTGAATGTATTATACTGGTGCGACGAGGACAAGAGCAACAATTAGAACTCGTACGGCGGGACTTGGCCTGCGAGAAAGTCACCCTATCACCTATATGTAATCTCTTGTTTTATCCAATCTGTTCTCTTGAGTTATCTTTCATATTTAATTGACCTATCGCCTTTCCTGACCTTTCACATTCAGCTGAAATTTGCACTTGATCTGACCTTTAACCTTTATCTGATATTTGTTAACATCTTTTTCCTCAGCCTTCACCGAAGGTTGGATTTACTGGGATGATGAGGATACCAACAACCAGAACTCGAAAAGCGGGACCTTGCCGTCTGGAAGCTACGGCTACAAAGATAACACCGAATCCTGCTGTCGCAGCGATGGTGTGACTGACCAGGCCATCTTCCTACCCACCGATGATAACTTCTACCTCTTCTCACAGTTCGAGAATTGCCAGACGGTGTGTATTGAACATATTCAAAAACATATCTCACAAAAGTGTTTCTCTTTAAATGCATACTGAAAGCCCCCCCCCCCTAATGATAATTATTAAAAAAAAACACATAACAAAACAAAACACTGTTTTCGCCGTAGTAAAGTGTAAATAATTTTGCAACGTTATTACAATACTTCTTGATGTTCTTTCCCCTTCTTCTTATGATTATGATTATTATTATCATTATTATTATCATGATCATCTTCATCATCAACAAATATTATATCCTTTTTATTACCAGTATCATCATTGTTAATATTACTACATATTAAGTACGTCTTCATTCCATCTTACGTTACACAATTTGTATCTTGTTTAGGTGAACGGGATGACTGTATCAAAGGAATGGTTTTATTGGGACACTGAAGACCACAATAACAGCGACAGGATGTCTTCAGTACACCCTTACCAAGGCGTTTACTCTAACGGTAAAAACGTCAACCTCAACTTCTGCTACTACCAAAAAGAGTGAGGTTATTTAGCACATATTTTGATTTAACGTCTTCAATGGATAACGACCACTAACAGTGACATAGGTCAAAGCATAGCTGGTAGAGTAGAGTTATATATTTATCGTACGGGAAGGTGCTATCGTTCGTAGGTTAAACAAGAAGCTTGTGTTTTGAGAAACGTGAACAAAATTGTGACTTTTTAAAATTCTTTGTTATGCTATTATGAAAGGGTGACATAGAATAAGTGTATCCTGTAGAAGATGTCTCTTCAAATTTACATCCTCATTTTCAACATAATGACAAGTAATACAGCTGAGGTTCTGGATCACACACATTTTGTGTGGTCCCATACACATTTTTGTGACTTTTAGGAAGACTAAACTGATTCATTATCATTATGATGACTATTCCGGGCTACATTAATGATTAACCTAGCTCAGTAGGCCTACGCTACATGGGTCAAACCATCGGCAGGCCTGTGTCATCAAGGGGGGAGGGGGGTGGGGTGGGGGTGGTGGCTGGTGAATTAAATACCGAATTCACATGCAACATAATTATTAGGGGAGCTTGTAGAAGAGGTCCTATTTTACTAAATAATAATAAATAAATAAATATTTCAACTCATATTTCCTACGATACACTTTTATATTTCCCCTATGGAAATAGCCTAAATAGAATGAGAACGAGCTGACTAAATTCTTCACATTTCGCAGAACTCTGCTTTCCCTTTAAGTTTAAGAAAGGATTGTCGGAATGAGCTGGGACTCACGGTGTAGTAGTTCTTAAAACGGTGATAAAATTAACTTTAAGGAAAAAAACAGTAAAAATATGATTTATTTTTAATGAAACGGTGTGGTTTAATGTATTTAAATTATGTAAGAATAATACTTCTAAGTAGGCTAATATATGTTAGGGCTGTAGATTTTTTTTATTGTTCCATTAATCGGCTTAATTTGAGCAATCAACAGAGATCAACTCTTTTATGCACGAATATTGGATCATGAATGTTACGTAAACTTATTTCTAAAGCAATGTGTAGTGGCCCAGGTATTTAGAACAGAAGACTGAAAGGTCACTGTATTGTTTTCATTGGTCTACTGTTTTTCTTCGCTAAAAATTAATCCGTTTCAGGACATTTAGAAGTGAAGTACTGTGGTTATGGGTATTTCTTGCAGAGGAAAATAAGTAAAAGTAGAATAAATGCATAGTGTGACGGGAACTTAATCGGATTTCATTGAGTTTCTTGTTACGGTGTTATATGATTGTCGTTATATAGCAGAAGAATGTGTTAGTGAAGAGAGGGAAAGATAGATGCAGATAGAGAGAGAGAGAGAGAACGGGATGAGAAAGGGAGGGGTTTATTGAGAGTGAGGGGAAAAAGATGGAGGGGAGTTATGGAGAAAGAGAGAGAGAGAGAGAGAGTGAGAGAGAGAGAGAGAGAGAGAGAGTGTGTGTGTGTGTGTGTGCCTGAGATAAAATGAAGGGAGAAGAGAAGTAGAAATATAGAGATTTTAAAAGAAAGAGAGAGAGAGAGAGGGAGGTATTCAATATCTAAAAAAAAAAATAATGCAAAAGAAATGGAAATGTAGATAGAGAGAGAGAGTGAATATGAGCATAGAGAGCGGGGGGGGGGGGGGAAGAGGGAGAGGGAGGGAGAGAGAGAGAGAGAGAGAGAGAGCGAGATGGAGAGCGTGAGTCCGGTATGAAAGGGAATGAGGTGAAAAGTAAAGATAGATATTTAAAGAGAGAAAGAGAGATTAAAAATAAAATGAGAATGAGGGGTGGAAATATCGATAGAAGAGGTGGATCTAGACTAACTAAAGAGAAATAGAGATAGTGAGAGAGGAAGAGAAGGGGAGAAAGAGAGGAAAAGAGATAGAGAGAAAAGGGAGAGAGATTGAGATGAAGGGGAAGGAGAAAATAAGTAGTTATAGGTTGGTGAAGGAGTGTTGCTGAATAGTTAGAAAAGGTAGATGCAATAGCAAAAGGAAGAATGAATACTATAAATGAGATATTTGAGCTAAATGAAGAAGTTTAGAATAACTGATCGCGGAGAGGTGGAAACGAATGGAAAGGAAGAATGTGAAAAAATGAAAAAACATTTTGGTGACTTTTAGGAAGACTAAGCCTATTTCTTATCATGTTCATGATTCCGCAATCTCAAAGTATACATCAATATTCATGTGCTACACCATCAACCTTTTTCAATCACTTCCACAACGTTTCTTTTACAATGCAGACGCTTGACCGAAATTCAACTTTATCTTAAAATTTCATAGAGCTCCGAAATAGTTCGCTGTCCAGAATGGTATGCGGAATGGAACTATTTCTAGTCATAATTATTTCCTACGATACACTCCCGCCCCCCCCCCCCCACTCAGTGTTATTTAGGGTACGCATATGCGAGTTCCCTCCTTTTGAAAACACCCCATAAGTCCGGTGTGTAAAGTCAAGAATGAGAACGAGCTGACTAAATTCTTCACATTTCGCAGAACTCTGCTGTCACTTTAAGTATAAGGAAATATTTGTTTTTACTGGGATTCGCGGTTTAGTAATTTTTAAAACGGTGATAAATGAACTTTAAGGAAAATAACAGTACAAATATGATTTATTTTTAATGAAACGGGGTGGTTTAATGTACTTAAACTATGTAATAATAATGGTTCTTGGTAGGCTATAATATGTTAGGACTGTAGATTTTCTTATATTTTTCAATTAATCAGGTTAATTTGAGCAATCAGCAGAGATCAACTCTTTTATGCACGAATATTGGAATATGAAGGTTACGTTAACTTATTTCCAAAGCAAAGTGTATTTATTAGAGACTGAAAAGTCACTGATAAATGTTTTCATTGGTCTACTTCTTTTCTTCGGTAACAATTAATCTGATTCACTAAGCAGTGTACGGCTATGGTTATGGTTATTTCTTGCAGATGAAAATAAGTTAGAGTAGAATAAATGCATATTGTGACGGAAACTTAATTTAGTTTAATGGAGTTTCTTGTTACAGTGTTATGACTGTTGTTATGGAGCAGACGAATGTGCTAGTGAAGAGAGGGGGAGAGAGAGAGACAGAGACAGAGGTTGGAAGAGAAAAAGAGATATTAAAAATAAATTGAGAAAGAGATGGAAATATCGATAGAAAAGGTTGATCTAGGTTAAAAATTAAAGAGAAATAGAGATGGCGAGGGAGAAAAATAGAGAAAGAGAGAGATAGAGAGAGGGAAAGCGACACAGAGAAAGAGGGAGAGAGGCTGGGATGAAAGGGAATGAGAAGAAAAGTAATGAGAGGTTTAGAAAAGGAGTGATTAAAGAAGAAAAAAGATGAAATGAGAATAAGATCGAAATATAGATAAATAGTTAGGAAAGGTTGATGCAGGAGAAAAAGAAAATGTCACAGTGAAAGATAAAGATAAAGAGAGAGAGAGAGCATGGGATGAAAGAGAAGGAGAAGAGAAGTAGAAGTAGAAAGAGGTTGAAAGAGAGAGAGAGAGAGAGAGAGCGATGGATGGACGCGTATGGAAAAGGAATCAGAGAGAAACAAAAATTTAAGTTTGGATGAATAGTTAGAAAAGGCTGATGTAAGAGAAAAAGAAAGAGCAATAGTGAGACGTAGAAAGTGCCTGGGATAAAAGGAAATGTGATGAGGAGTAGCGAGAGAGGTTGAAAGAGAAAAATAAATATTAAAGATAAATTGGGAAAGATAGGTATCGATAGAAAAGGTTGATCTATTTTTTTTTTAAAGGGAGAAATAGAGATAGGGAGGGAGAAAGATAGAGGAAGAGAGACAGAGACAGAGAGACAGAGAAAGATATAAAGGGGAACGGAGGGGGGGGGGGGGGGGGAGAAAGAGCAGACAAAGGGGTCCCTTGTATGACAGATGAGAGGAGATGGCAAGAAGCATTTAGAAATGCAGAAAATCGAGATAAAATCTATCACAAGTCATTCACATAGTGCAATCTTGAACTGTGAAATAAAAATAGTATTACAATTTATTAAGAAGATTTATAAAGTAATGAAGGGCGCTGCACTTGAAGCGTTTTGTTTTACAAAGGTATTGTTTGATCAAGATCTTAGAGAATAAGTGCTTTTGTTGTCTAGGAGGTAAACGTTCTTTAAATTTATTGTGGGTGTTTGGCAAGAGCATTGGTAAAGTCCATGCATAACTCCTCAAGTCTTGCTTCTAATGAACGTAGATCGCACGTTTCCAAAGCTGCTTCAAAACTTTGATTCTGACGTCCTAAAATGATTTTGCAATCTCGTTTCTGCATACGTTCTAAAGTTGATACATGAGTTTCTGCAAAATTACCTTTGAAAACGGTAACCCCATAATCTCAGATCGAATTAATGTATCATTTATATATATAAGTAAAAGGTCATCTGAAACAGGCGCGTACGCAGGGGGGGTGGGGGGGGGTGGGG